ACATGTGTAGTACATGAATAGTGCTAGTACATACATGGATTGGCCAGTGCTACTTGGTAGTACATACATAGTATATGCATAGTACTAGTACATACATAAAGTGGCCAGTGCTATGTACAGTACATACATAGTACATGAATAGTACTAGTACATACATAGATTGGCCAGGGGAGATTAGGGACAGCAGGAGGAGGAGGAAGAGGAGGAAGAGGAGTTAGGGACAACAGGAGGAGGAGGAAGAGGAGGAAGAGGAGTTAGGGACAACAGGAGGAGGAGGAGGAAGAGGAGGAAGAGGAGTAAGAGGAGGACGAAGAGGAGGAAGAGGAGTAAGAGGAGGAGGAAGAGGAGGAAGAGGAGGACGAGAAGGAAGACAGCAGCGTAGGTGGTGTTATATAATGTGGGGATACAAGAGGGGCCAGAGGCGCTGGCTGGTGAGGAAGAAAAGGATGTGGAAGAAAAATAGGAGTAGAAGAAGGGGACCAAGATAGATAGAGAGCGGGCAAGACGAGGAATGTTAAACGCATGGTGAGGGGCTAAGGGAATGGGGGAAGCAGGGTTGGTAACGTTAAGCCCAGAAGCTTATATTATTATTATTATTACTATTATTGTTATTATTATTATTGTTATTATTATTATTATTATTATTATTATTATTGTTATTGTTATTATTATTGTTGTTATTATTATTATTATTATTATTATTATTGTGTGTAAGTGCATTTGGTTTTGTATATATGGTCAAACAGAGCTGCCCGATAAACCGTAGGTAGAGAGGGAGAAGAGGACAACAAACGAGGGGCTGTGACAAACTATATATAGGGTTCAGCCTCCTGATAAGTAGGGAAGTGAAACTCCGCCGAAACAGTTTGTCATGTTCTCTCTCCCTTTCTGCCTACGGTTTACCGGGCAGCTCTGTTTGACGATATATATATTGCGTTTTGTGGGCCTACTGAATGGTTCCGTTTTTTTACTATGGATATGGTAGAATGTTTGTTTTGTGAATCTTGTCTGCTTTGATTCTGTTATTGGGCATCCTGGTTGGTTGTTTCCCGTTGTTCGGCCTTTTGAGCGCGGGGCGGTGCTTGTATGTGGGAATCGTTATCCGGGATTGTCTTCTCTTTCTTTTTGGTTGTCACAGTGGGATCGGAGCCTTTCTTTTTGTTTTCTTTGCAGACAAGAATGTTTTGATATCCTGGTTGGTCTCGTCCCGTCGTTTGGCCTGTGAGTT